CGCGCCCCCACTCCCTGCGCCCCACTCCGAGTGCCCCCACTCCCCGCACCCCACTCCCTGTGCCTCGAAGGCGGCTCCAGGACCACGCGTGCTCTGCCCTCCATGGGCAGGTGGACTCAGGGGCTCGTATGGGGCCCTTCCTGGGCCTGGGAGCAGCAACCCCAAACTCCTGAGGTTCCTTGTGCGCACACACATGCCCTCCACACACACACACACAGGGAAGTGGGGCGCGGAGGGACCCCGAGACCCGGAGGTTGGAGGAGGTCTTGGTGGGTCACCCCTGGAAGCCGGCACCCAGAGTAATTGATGGGCTTCTCACACCTTCATGTTTCTCTCTCGGGACCCCGCCCACATTCAGGAATTTAGGAAAAAGACAGCAAAAAAAGTCCCCAGGCGCTCTGGCGGTGTTGCTCAGTGGTTAGCATGTCGGCCCGCGGACCAAAAGGTCTCGGGTTCAATTCCCGGCCCCGGTCAGGGCACGTGCAGGAGGCAACCCATCGATGTCTCTCTCTCACATGGATGTTTCTCTCTGTCTCTCCCTCTCTCTTCCACTCTCTCTAAAATCAATGGAACAATATCCGGCCCGCGGACCAAAAGGTCTCGGGTTCAATTCCCGGCCCCGGTCAGGGCACGTGCAGGAGGCAACCCATCGATGTCTCTCTCTCACATGGATGTTTCTCTCTGTCTCTCCCTCTCCCTTCCACTCTCTCTAAAATCAATGGAAGAATATCCTCTGGGGAGGATTAACAAACAGAACAAAACAAAAAGTCACGGGGCCCTGGAGGCTGGCCCTGGCCTCTGTGGTGCCCGTCCTGCCCCTGCACACATGCCCGCTGTGGCTGGGGCACCCCCCCCAGGTGCCAAGGACACCCCAGCTTTCAGAACTGCCCCTTGGACCCAGGCAGGGCACTCAGGCCCCAGGCGGGACCCGCCTCCGGGTCTTCAGAACCGTGTTTTGAAGAAACCAAGATCAAGCCCCCATTGAAGATCGCCAACTGGCCGGTGGGTAGCAGGGACCGACTGGTGCTCTGGTGGGCGGGGTTCGGGGAGGTCAGGGTCCTGCGGAGGGGCCTCGGATCCCGGGCACCATCTCAGCCACCGGCAGGATGTCCCAGGTGTGGGCTGGGGTCCCCACGAAGCCCCCACGCTTGTCCCAGCTCAAGGGGAAGACTGTTGGGACCAATAGTCACGCCCTTATAGTCCCCACTTTGGGGTATTCATTCATTTTTTTTTTTTTAATTTCAGAGAGGAAGGGAGAAGGAGAGAAACATCAGTGATGAGAGAGAATCACTGACCGGCTGCCTCCTGCACGTCCCCTACTGGGGATCGAGCCCGCAACCCGGGCATGTGCCCTTGGCTGGGATTGAACCTGGGACCCTTCAGTCCGCAGGCTGACGCTCTATCCACTGGGCCACACCGGCCAGGGCTGGGGTATTCATTCTTCAAGTGGGAGTTACGGACGCCCGGCCCCCGTGCCACGCCGGTGGGCCTGCTACCTGATCCCAGGCGATGCAGGAGGAGAGGTTCTCTGTGGTACCCGGGAGTGCTGGCCCTCACTCTGTCCTTCGTCCACCTACGGCTGCCCGGTGTCCAGCGCCCTGGACTCCCTGCTCCGGCCCAGCCCCCGCCGCCCGCCCACACCTGCTTGGAGACTTTGAGCCAGGTCTTCTTCAGCCGGAAGATGGCGCTGCGGTTCATGGAGGAGGTGATCTCCAGGACGGCGTTGTAGTTGTGCAGGCAGCGGCAGATGTCGGCCACGGCCACCCACTTCTCGATGGCGCTCGCCCGGGCGCTGATGTCCTCGTTCCGGATGATTTCGGACGCGATCAGGTTACTGATCTTGAAGCCCATGCGATATGACAAGAAAAAAAAAAGGGTGAGAGGAAGGAGTGTCGTCAAGGGGACAGGTCACCGGGATCTGCGGACGATCTGAAAATCCCGAAAGAGCAGCGAAGGACTCCACAGACAGGCGTGAGAAGTTTTTCTCAGTATGAGGCGGACCGATGGGAGGATACAGTGAAAACCGATTATCTTCAAACCACCGGCGGGAATCTGTGAATTACCTGGGATGTAGGTGGGACGGGATATGAAAACCAATAAATAAAAAACTGTGACTGAAGGCTATCATAGGTCTGAATAATGAAGAAAAAGGTCAGATTCCCAAATGGAAATAGAGATGCCATTTTTCTTTTCTTTTCTTAGTTTAAAAATATATTTTATTGATTTTTTTACAGAGAGAAAGGGAGAGGGATAGAGAGTTAGAAACATCGATGAGAGAGAAACATCGATCAGCTGCCTCCTGCACGCCCCCCACTGGGGATGTGTCCGCAACCAAGGTACATGCCCTTGACTGGAATCGAACCCGGGACCCTTGAGTTCACAGGCCGACGCTCTATCCACTGAGCCAAACCGGTTAGGGCTCTTTTCTTTTTTAAAAAATATGTTTTTACTAGAAGCCCAATGCACGAAATTCGTGCATGGGTAGGGTCCCTAGGTCTGGCCAGTGATCAGGGCCATCTGTGGGGTGACTGGCGGGGCGATCGGGGAGGGGGGGACCTGCTGGCACCCACTTTGGCTGGCCTAGGGCCTGCAGACTGGGGGCAGCTCCTGTGTTGAGCGTCTGCCCCCTGGTGGTCAGTGTGCATCATAGCAACCGGTCGTTCTGCCATTTGGTCAATTTGAACTTTAGGTTTTTATTATATAGGATTGATTTCAGAGAGGAAGGGAGAGGGGGAGATAGAAACATCCATGATGAGAGAGAGCCACTGATCGGCTGCCTCCTACACGCCCCCCACTGGGGATGGAGCCCTCATCCCGGGCATGAGGCCCCGACCAGAATCGAACCCGGGACCCCTCCGTCCGAGGGCCGACGCTCTATCCACTGCGCCACACTGGCCAGGGCAAGACGCCATTTTCCAAAAGCAACGCATGACCCACATTATCTTAAATGGGGACATAGGAGAGGCCTCTCGCTAATTCCAAAAATGAGATGCACTGTCTTAGGGGCCTGGACTGGAGGCCGCTGGTGGGGCAGCAACAGCCACGGGAAGGGTGGAGGCTCCTTGGGATCCGCCCCTGGGCACCTGCCTGCCTCACCCTCCCGGGTGCTGGCCCTGAAGGAGGTCTGTCCAGCAGAGAGAGGAGCTGAGGCCAGAGGGACCGGAAACAGCAGAAATGGCTGAGCCAGGAGATGAAACAGTCTCAGGCCACGGTTAACCCGCCACGGAGGAGCGTATACTGTGTCAGAAAGAAACGGAAGAGCCGGCGTGGCTCAGTGGCTCAGCGTCAACCTACGAACCGGGAGGTCACGGTTCGATTCCCGGTCCAGGGCACAGGCCCGGGTTGCGGGCTCCATCCCCAGTGTGGGGCGTGCAGGAGGCAGCCGATCGGTGATTCTCTCCCATCATGGATGCTTCTCTCTCTCTCCCTCTCCCTGTCCCTCCCAATCTCCTTCCCTCATGTGTTCGTCTCACCAGGAAGTTTCTCAGAGGAGCAGGGATGGGGTGGGGGATGTGGGGTGTGGGGTGTGTGTGTGTGTGTCCGTTCTCCGCCCGGCCCCTCGCGGCTCCTGCGGGGGCCAAACCAGAGAGAAAGGGCCACCACCGCCTACACTCACGTCGTTGAAATGCTTCGTGGTTTTCATGATGTAGGGCGTCCTCTCGTTCTTCTCCAGTTTCATCCAGCCTTGTCCGAAGAACTCCCTGCAGGACACAGGGCGGGGGGGCCCCCAGGACGGAGCGGTCAGGCGGCCCTCCGGATCCCTCTGCTTTCCAGGCTGTCATCTGGGGGGGGAGGGGGAGGGGGGAGGCCGGCACCTGCCCCACTCACTCACTCGTAAGGGATCTTCTTGAAGACCAGGTGGTCCAGCAGCGTCAGCTGCTCCGCGATCTCCAGGGCCGAGTGGTTCTCAAAGGGCTCGGCCTTCACGCCCGCGGCCTGAGGGGGGCCAGGTCTGCGTTAGCCCTGTGTAGCCCCGCTGAGCCCCCCGAGGCCACCTCCTGGCTTCCTGACACTTCCCCAGGGGATCGCCACGGATCCCGGGGTGGGGGGGGCAGGTGGATGGAGGGGTGTGATGGGGAGGCCTGGCTGGGAGAAGGCGTGCTGGGCAGGAGGCGCAGGCTGCCCCCTTGGCTCCCCCCCTCTTTTTTATAACCTATATTCTTTTAATAGTTATTCTTTTAAAAAAATATATATTATTGATTTTTTACAGAGAGAAACATCGATGAGAGAGAAACATCGATCAGCTGCCTCCTGCACACCCCCTACTGGGGATGTTGCAACCAAA